TTCCCTTTATTTTTCAGTAGAGTTATTCTGTACGTCTCATTCCTCTTAAAATCGTGACCCTCTAGAACTCCTATTTTCCAGCTTATGATTTTGAAGACAGTATTTCAACCTACAAATTTCTCTTTGATGTTTTAACACACAGATTCACACAAATAAAAACTACAGTGAAATGGTTAGGGATGGGAGAATGAATTCAGTTCGGTAGCTATCGAATTAGACAGAGAGAGGCTGAAAATTTGGGTGTAGGTGTGCAGAATATTTTGCTGATGTATCTTTCTAATAAACGTGGTTTTCTAAGTATGTTTTTCTGATAAACTGCACTTGTTCTTTACCATCAGAGCCCAGAAGTTTACTTGCTGGGTTTGGTTACCGGGTCAAGGACTATAGAAAAAGCTGGAAAGCATTTAACTCTTTGTGTACCACCAGGAGAGCCTTTAGGCTCTTATTGCATGATCTAAATAGAAGAGGAAGAGAGACTTTTCCCCACTGGTACAAAGCCAAGACTTGTCTTGAATTATATAGTGTATGTATGCATGTATATATACATATATGTATATATACGTGTGTGTATATATATACACACATACATATAGTTTCTATAAAATTGGCCTTCCTTTTCTCCTGAGCTAACTATAGCCTAGGTGTGGCTATATTTTGTTGACAATGAGAGGCAGAGCCTCAATACTATTAAATAATCAAATAAGCGGATCATGGAATTGGCCTCATTTAGGAAAATTCAAGTATTTAACCTCATCTTCATTTTTGGAAAGACATGGTATATCAGAATTAAAAACATCTTGCATTTATTAGGCAGCCAATCATAAGTCATGCTGTTTAAATGAAATTTAATGAATTACGTTTCAGTTAAATTGACTGGATTTGAATCAAATGGTATATACCATTAAAGAAGCTATCATATAATAATTTTATGTAGCTGCATTTGAACTTAAAATGCCAAACTATTTAGAGACTACTTCATTCATTTTTAGAAGGCATATTTTGTATATATATTTTAAAAGGCTGGTTTATTTTCCCTTTTTAGCAGAGACGCATATCCCGCTCATTGCCTTGTCTTCTCTCTATAAATACACAGCTCATCCAAGTATGTTTTGTTTCATGAGTGAACGGCTTATTTTGTGATGAAAAAGAGGTCACTCCTGAAACATATTTGGTACCATAGGGAGTCCAGAATTTTAGATTACGCTCAGAATTTTATGAGGTAACTTTTTAAAATGGAATATTTAACTTTTTTTTTTTTTTTAAAGGAATGTTCTTTCTCCCTCTCTGTTTCTGCTTCATAATGATATTTTTTTTTTTTTTTTTTTGAGACTGAGTCTCGCTCTGTCACCAGGCTGGAGTGCAGTCACAATCTCGGCTCACTGCAACCTCTGCCTCCCGGGTTCAAGTGATTCTCCTGCGTCAGCCTCCAGAGTAGCTGGGACTACAGGTGCCCGCCACCAGGCCCGGCTAATTTTTGTATTTTTAGTAGAGACGGGATTTCACCATATTGACCTGACCTTGTGATCCATCCGCCTAGGCCTCCCAAAGTGCTGGGATTACAGACATGAGCCGCTGTGTCCAGCCTGTTTTTTTTTTTTTTTTTTTTAAAAAGAACATTCTGATGTCTTAATTTTAAGGATGGGTGAAGGAGGTGGCAGTTTTAAATGTACCCTTGAGAGCTCTCTTACCGGGTTACTCTTTGAAAATAATAACCATTCTAGTGATGAATATTTGATGGAGATGGTCAGTCTGTCCTAGAGCTGGGTTTAAGGCAATTCCTAGATGCTGAGAAGAGGAGAGTGTTGGGTACGAGGGCGCCGGGAGTTCTGGGAGTGATCATTTTCGTTTAGGGAGCGCTATGAAAGTTGGAACTAAGCTGATAACTCAGATACGCCTATCTAGTGACTCCTCTCTTCAGCCATTACTGGTACATCAATTTCTCTCTGCTCCCTAAAGGACACTTTTGCCATTTTTCATGCTTCCCTTTACTTTCTCCCTGCTATATCTTTTTCCTTCGATTTCTCTTTCTTTTATTCTGTATTGTTTTCTTTTTCCTTATCGTGTATTTTTCTCTCCTCTCTCAGTGGTTCTCATTGATTTTCCCTTTATTTTTCAGTAGAGTTATTCTGTACGTCTCATTCCTCTTAAAATCGTGACCCTCTAGAACTCCTATTTTCCAGCTTATGATTTTGAAGACAGTATTTCAACCTACAAATTTCTCTTTGATGTTTTAACACACAGATTCACACAAATAAAAACTACAGTGAAATGGTTAGGGATGGGAGAATGAATTCAGTTCGGTAGCTATCGAATTAGACAGAGAGAGGCTGAAAATTTGGGTGTAGGTGTGCAGAATATTTTGCTGATGTATCTTTCTAATAAACGTGGTTTTCTAAGTATGTTTTTCTGATAAACTGCACTTGTTCTTTACCATCAGAGCCCAGAAGTTTACTTGCTGGGTTTGGTTACCGGGTCAAGGACTATAGAAAAAGCTGGAAAGCATTTAACTCTTTGTGTACCACCAGGAGAGCCTTTAGGCTCTTATTGCATGATCTAAATAGAAGAGGAAGAGAGACTTTTCCCCACTGGTACAAAGCCAAGACTTGTCTTGAGTCTATTGTGTTTGGGAGGGTTTGGAAGTGATGAAAAACAATAGAAAATAAGAGCATTCTGGAGTTTGGATTTGCTTTAATATTAACTGTTAACTAGCTTTGCTGTTAAATATCTTTATTAAAATTTGGCTAACTCCGGTGTTAAGTTCAGAGTAGAGATTTGTCAATACAAGAGAGAAGAATCTCTTTTTGATTAGCTCAATGATATACTATATTTATCTGGGGAAATGGTTGTATTTTAAGGCCAATTGTTTATTGCCACTGTGACACTTATTGGTAAGTGACTGCATCATGCTATTCTCAATGATTTTTGTTTTAAAATATATGCTCTTAGCTGAGATTCAGAAAATAGCGAAAGGCAAGGCAATATCTATATCGTCTCATGTAAAATCCTTACTGTCTCTTTCTCTGCCCAGGATACCCAGCTTTTCATGGTGGAACCCACTTTCATGGTCTCATCATTGCTTTGATCTTTCGTGTTTCTTTCATTCACTCCTACAATTACTCAACAAATATTTTAAGCACCTACTAAGTGCCAGGCACTATTTGGATGTGGGGGACACAACAAGGGGAAAAACTGACAACAGTTCTTGCTTTCACAGAGTTTATGTTCTAGTGGAATAACAGGTATAAATAAGTAGGCAACCAAATGCATTATGGAGTATATATGGTGTGATGATCCAGGTTATGAAGAAAGTAAGGGTGAGTGTGTGGTGGGTGCTAAGGAGTGGGTGGGGTTGCTGCTTTAGCAAAGCCCCGAAGGAAGCAGCCACAGAGTGGGGCTTGCAGATATTGGGAAGAAGAGTGAGTGCAGTGCTCTGGGCAGAGACAGTAGCCACTGTGGCTTTGGCAGCCCTATGGAAGAAGCATGACTGGTGTGTTACAAGACAAGCAAGCTGGCCAGGGTGGCTGGCCTGATGAGCAAGTTGGTACAGATGTAGGTGGGTAGAGAGGCTAGTGAGTAACACTAGTTGAAACCAGGCCTTGTGGGCCCCTGTGGAGACAGATTCTTATCTGAGTGAAATGAAAACTTTCAATGTAGCTTTCAATGTAACTTTCAATGTAGCTTAACAGTATGTTATGCTGTTTGAATACTAAATGCCTTTTATTTTTCTGTAGCATTGTCACTTACATCAGCTACCATGCTGCTAAATTGGAAATGTCAAAATGACCATAAAGAGTGACTGCTGGCTGGGTGGGGTGGCTCATGCCTGTAATCCCAACACTTTGGGAGGCCAAGGTGGACGGATCACGAGGTCAGGAGTTCGAGACTAGCCTGGCCAACATGGTGAAACCTCATCTCTACTAAAAAAATACAAAAATTAGCTGGGCGTGGTGGTGGGTGCTTGTAATCCCAGCTATTCTGGAGGCTGAGACAGGAGAATCCCTTGAATCCGGGAGGCAGAGGTTGCAGTGAGCCAAGATTGCGCCACTGCACTCCAGCCTGGGCAAGAGAGCGAAATTCCATCTCGAAAAAAAAAAAAGAAAAAAAAAAAACCAGTGACTGCTGTGCCTTGTGTCCAGGGTCTGGTCTGCATGCCAGTCAGGGGAGCAACGTGACAGTCAGGAGATATAAACTCTCGTCTTCACCGTGCCAACAACCGCTTGCGTTATAGGCGTTGAATTTCTCCTCTGAAAGGTGCGGAGGATGGATGAGATTAGTGGTTTTTCAGGCTCTGATTCATGGAGCGTGAGGGATCCCTTGAAGGCCCTTTCATTTTTATTTTTATCGTAAAGGCCCTTTTACTTTTAAATTTGCATGCAAGCTTCACTTAGAAGAAAGTGCCCTCTAGCTTAAGAAAAAAAAATCCGTGACTTGGTTATGCCTTAGGTTTTTTTAGCATGATGAATTTGCAGTCTCGTAGAATCTCAGATGACATGAGGACTGAAAGAGAAAAACCGCTTCAGAAACCCTCCTTACTCAGTGTCTCTTGGTAACAGTGTTCATTATCTCTCATTGAAATCAAGGGGCAATTTGACAACAGTTAGACAAGGCTTTTGAGATCCCATCCTTCAACCTTGGTGCGGTAGCTTCTACCGTGACACAGACTTCAGCTGAGTGAATCAGATACTCCGTGAAAGTCTTAGAGGGACTTTCTGGCACAATTTAGAAACTAGCAATTGAGACAAATAAGGATAGTTGATATATAGAGAAGGGCTTAGGAATATCCCAATTTTAAAAAATGACGTGGGCACTCTCATTATATGTATTATATATACTGAGAAGTAGTCATATCCTAATAACCCAGTTATATAATCGGGAGAGAGACCGGATAGTTTTGGTACTTATGGTTAATGATATATTTTACTGAAAGTTTTATTTTCTGATTGAAGAAATAGGAAAATTATCCTTTAAGATACTGACTCTCTGCTTCCTTTCCAAACTAGAATCTCAATCTGCTGTTTCGGAAACTCCCAAAAAACGCTCGGATGCTGTCCAGAAGGTAAGACAATCTTATTAGGATGTCAGATTCCCATCTGTCTTATTTGTCTTAAGATTGTGACAGACTCTGCGATTTATCTTTCCATCTGCCCGGCTGGCTAGGATGCCCCTGTTTTCCCTAAGCCTGCAGCGGAATCCAGTCAGGCAGAAGGGGATGTTTTCTTCCATTTATTTTTTTTGCGTAGAAAATCAGCCTTGAAGTGGAACTGAGTACAAGCTTTTCAGAAGCTGTTTTATTCTCTATCCAGCCAAAGAGTTGGGCCCAATGACAGCTGGCTCCAGCAGGAAACGGTGGCCACTCCAGGGAGAAGTCTGCCGAGATGCGCCTGCTCAAATAGTCCCATGGCTATGATCTTTAAAAAAAAAAAAATCTGTCAGAGCTTTGCTAAAGTCAAATAAGGTTCTTATTACTTTGGTGGATGAAACATTAATTAGTATCTGTTTAATTTCCACAGAAACTTTTTTTTCCTGTTACTGTATTAGTCCGTTTTCACACTGCTGATAAAGGCATACCCAAGACTGGGCAATTTGCAAAAGAAAGAGGCTTGTTGGACTTACAGTTCCACATGGCTGGGGAGGCCTCACAAGTTTGTGGCGGAAGGCAAGGAGAAGCAAATCACATCTTACATGGATGGCAGCAGGCAAAAAAGAGCTTGTGCAGAGAAAGTCCCATTTTTAAAACCATTAGATCTCGTGAGACCTGTTCACTATCATGAGAAGAGCATGGGAAAGACCAGCCCCCATGATTCAGTCATCTCCCACCAGGGCCCTCCCCAACATGTGGGAATTATGGAAGCTACAAGATGAGATTTGGGTGGGGACACAGAGCCAAACCATATCAGTTACCAAAAAAGCCAAATTTTGTGTTTTTTTTTTCTTATGCTAAAATGGATTTCTTATTTAAAAAAAAAAAAAAAAGGCTGCAAGAAAGGAAACATTTGTATGGAATAGTAATTGTGAATAGCAATTGCTTTTTTGGATATAAAACCATTTGCTTAATTTACATTTTCACCCAGCTATGCTTTTGACAGTAACTTAGTTTTAGAAATGAATAGTAAAAAGATGTGTTCTGTTCTGTTGGTGGTCTAGGAGAAAATGAGGAGACACATACCTGGGTTTTACACCCGGATCTATTTCTGATTAGTGTGATGACAACATGTTTAGATTACCTGGGACATAGGGTTCTTCTCTGTAAAATTAAATTATTGCTGATCTCTGAGAAGTCATCCAAGAATAAAGTAACTTCCCTTCAGAAAAGAATCCCTGTTATACATGAAGGTTGTGCTCCCCCTGGAGGAGAAATTGGGGTATAACATCGGTTGAAAACAGCACCTGGGTAATTTTCAAAAATGCAGTGAGATTAGCTATCCTTAAGGACAGTTCATTAAAAAAGCAAGCTTTTGCAGCCTATTGTTATGGGAGCAGAGGCCTACATCAACTTGGTGGCACTTGGAGAGGCATGGTGGGCTCAACTGATGGTCCCTTAATTATCTGCAATGATTAGCCCGCAGCAAAAAAGATGAAGAAAGATAAAAAGGTAAAAAGAAATAGTAAGGTCAGCAATTATTAAGAAAAATAGTACCCCCAAATCTTCCCTCACTTGTTAAGCCTTTCTTTCATGGAAAGCATGGCTAAATTGTGATTTAAAGGAATATATTAAGTTTTTCTAAATTCTTATGTCCAGGACGTGTATGAATCAATTGTTATATATGATAATGTCAAAGAGAACCTGAACAGGAAGTATTTGATAATATCAACAATGATAAAACATGTACAACATTGCTTTCTATATTATGCTATTTCAAGATATATATTCATGTGTGTAACATTATAGAGTGTTTTTCCTGAGCGATGGACCATAGTAAAATATATTACAATGGGGCTGGGCGCGGTGGCTCACACCTGTAATCCCAGTACTTTGGGAGGCCAAGGCGGGCGGATCACAAGGCCAGGAGATCGAGACCATCCTGACTAACAAGGTGAAACCCTGTCTCTACTAAAAATACAAAAAATTAGCTGGGTGTGGTGGCGGGTGCTTATAGTCCCAGCTACTCAGGAGGCTGAGGCAGGAGAATGGCATGAACCCAGGAGGCAGAGCTTGCAGTGAGCCAAGATCGCACCACTGCACCCCAGCCTGGGCGACAGAGCGAGACTCCGTCTCAAATATATATATATATATATGTATAGCAATAAGCAGAAACCTAATGGAGTAGGTTATTTTAAAACACTTGATTTTACAACTTGAAGACTCAAGGGTGAAATAGGTTGAACAAATGTTACATCTTATCCTTGTCAACAGTGAAGTGTCTAGAAGTCAGGAAAATTAATTGAGAGGTAACAATATTTGGAAGCAATCGAGATTAAGCGCCCAACAATGACATCACTTACTTTTGCAATCATTAACTCTTTGTCATACATTTATTTTATGGGCTGATTCTTTTCTTAGATGATATGGGTATGTTTCATGACAGCCTAAAGTAAGTGTCCATAAAGGGGATACAGAAAACTCAAATTAATTGTCAACCTACTGTACACCTCTTCTTTCACTCTATTACCTCAAGAAATCCTTAACAATAATCTTTTAAAGTAACTCTTATAATGCACATTTCACTAAGAAAATGATTATACGAGGTAAAAGTAACTTGCATAAGATCACAGGCTTGATAAAGGATAGACCCACTATTTGAGTGTAGATCTGTTTGATTTTATACTTATACTATGATAAAAATTATCCTTTTACATGGATAATCACCGTATGCCAAAATCATCAGATGAATGAGATGAGAAGTTTATTCTAAATTTATTTTATTATATTTAAACGATACCATGTATGAGTCAGATGTCAAGATACATTATAGAGGCAAATAGGTATATTGGTTCACGTATACGTTTTGAAGTTTTACTAGAACTTTGATATGCTGAGTTGTGTCAATTTTACTAACTTTAGTGCTTTGTTATGTAAAAAAAAAATTATTTTTCATGGCAAGTCCTTGCTTTTTCCTTCTTAGTCACTAGATGGCAGTTCTGTATCTCTAAATCACCACTGCAGATGGAAATGAGAGGTTTGAAGGCAGTTTTCTCAGTATGAGTGATGAACCTAAGAGATTTTTCTGGTCCGTCCAGTGTTGCCTGCGTTCTTCTGTGGTCGTAATGCGAGATCCCCAGGACTGCTTAGTGAGAGGCTTGCAGCCGAGTTGGAAAGCATCCTCTCTAAGTTATTCTTCAGATGTGCGTTCAGGCACCTGTTCTCTCAATCTGAGCACACTGGAATTTATTGAATGAGTTTTGACTTTTACTCTTTCTGTAGTTAATAATTCTGAGAGCTCAATATCCCTAGAAAAAACACATGACTCATAAAGCCTTTCCTCAGCTCACAGGAGTCAGAGGCTGTGGTGTTGCCAGAGGGTCTGATGCTTAAAGCAAATACAGCTGGCACTCCAGTGAGAAGAACGGACTGTAGCTACTCCTTGAGTGCTTTTATTGATGACCCTGTGGAATTAGGTTTTCAAATAAAATTACGTTCTTTAGACCTCACTTACTGATTATTTTAATTTCAAGTAATATGCTCTGAAAATCTGCTATATCTGAAGAATTAGGTCATAAAACTGAAATGCGACTGTCTTTTGATTCTGTTTATTTAAATCCTTTGGCATTTGAAATATTTAAACTGTAAAGCCTTTTACACTCTATAGTCTATAATAGCTTAGTGTCAATTATTTTATCTAAGAACATTTGCTTCTAAGTTAAAGATTGGTGTATGGTAACATGCTTCACCTGGTAGCTACCTGGTTTCTAACTTTTTGCTTTTGAAATTATATATAAAATTTTTGTTTCAAAGCATGTTTCTAAAACTCTTGACATCTTTCTAATGTAAATGGACTAGTTGGAAAGGAAATAGAATAACATTTTGATTTTTAAAAACTCCATCTTTGGGTAAGAAAGAATTGAAAATAACAGGCAATCGAAAGTCAGGTCTTTGCACATTATAATATTTATTATTTATCAATAGTCACATCCATTACAAAGTGCTCGATAATAAAAAGGAATTATACAATATTAGCACTGTCTTCCCCCATATGTTGTATGGTCTATGTGCAAATAAATTCTCAAGTGTCAGAAAAACTCTTCGCTCTGATCCGCCCTGCCAAGTCTCCTCATTGTCCAATCTAACTGCAAATGTATTTGAAGAAGTATTTTTTTTTATTAGATCTCCTTAAAGTATCTGTTATAGTACTCTTTATGCAATGGCCACTCAGTTCCATTAGTTTCAGAAATAATTTAGGAACAAGTCAAGGAAACAGATGGAGTAATGTGGAGTAGCCTCGTCGATGGAATGGTCTTGATTACTCAGAAGCAAAGTTTGAAGAGCAAAAGAAGCATTGGTCAGATCCAAAGAAAGTGGCGGGGAGGGGTGGGTAAAAGTAATTTTGAAGAAATAATGCTGGAGACTTAATAAAACAAGCCATTTGAATTAGGGTAGAATGTCTTAGACATATAGAAGGGTTCTAAAGAAACGTTGTTGAATGTGAGGTCTTTCTCAACTCCAAGGCAAAAGGTAATATGAATTTGCAAGGTAATTGGAAACCAACAAAACAATAACCCACAAGACAAGTAAATAACTAAAATAAGGCAGAGTAAGAAACACAAGGAGAGAGAGAGAGAGAGAGAGATGCTTGGGTCTGAAACCATGAGTTAGTTATCCTTGAAGTCTTCCTCAGTGTCTCATCATTCTTAGGTCCTCAATAAATAGTTTAACCAATAAATACTCTGACCAAATGAGTCTGGGAAGGGGCAAGCGAGAGATGGTTAGGAAGGGAAGAGAAGACAGGATACCCGTGGGGCGGTGCTGACACTGAAGTTAGGTAGCATTTTGAAAGGCATTTACCATACTATGTTAACAGAAAGAATTTTTTTTTTTTTTTTTTTTTGTGGGGAAAGAATTTTTATTCTGTAGAAATTCGAAGGAGCTCAGAAAAAGATATAGACGTTTTAGCTTAGAAA